TACCTAAATTTTATAGTGATGGTTTCTGAAGCTAGAAGATAAGTGTATTAAATGGTGAGTCGGCCTAGAATCTAAATAAGTACAGCGTTGTGTGTCATCAAATTTTAAAATATTTCAGTAGCTGAGGAAACAGTGATGGGCATAGGGCAGTCATCAGGATAAGGGTCTTTTGGCAAGATGTTTTCTGTTGCCTAATTGTTTTCTCTGTCTTCATTCTCCTGTTTGATCTATGGTCCTTAGAAGGTTATCATTCTCACAGCAACACTGCTCACATTAATATATTGCTCAAAAACTTAATTACTTAGAGAATAAAGTCCAGACACCTTTGATGTTCAAAGTCTTCCATGTTCTGGCTTCTAGTCATCTTTACAGCTTACCTACCAATTCTCTCATAAGATTTCTGTATTTCAGCCAACCTATTATGTTTATTTTTCTCAGATATGTCACATACATTTTGGCCTTTGTATGTATTAACCCACCATTCCTGTGTTGATATTTTTTTCCTTACCTCTCCATTCATGTAAGAGCTAACTATGCTTTCAGGTGAAGTTCATGTCCTAATTTCTGCTCAGAGCCTTCCTAGCCAATTTGCTTTTTTTCTCTTATTTTCTCTTTACTACTCATTTGGTACTCAAGTTACAAGATTGTGTGTGTGTGTGTATGTGTGTGTGTGTGTGTGTGCGCGCGCGCACACTTTATTACATTACATGTGTATGGAGTTTTTCTCTGTGTATGTTTTGGTTTATTTTGCTGTTGCTTTTTTAATTCCTCAACTACATGGTATATCCTTGGGGGCAGGGACACGTAGCATAACATTTAGTTGGTACTCAAATGTTTGTCATTGAACTAATCTTGTGTTTGGTCTGTTAGTAATGTTTTTCATGGTTACCAAATTTTTTTTTATCACAGATTTCTGAGTTCACAGTTTTAACATGTTATTGAGAGATACTTTGGCAATTATCAGAGATGATCATAACAGCCATCTTTCTTTTGTATGTGTTTTAGGAAACTAAAGTTGCCATTTAAAGTAGTCAACTGCTACTTCATAGTCCTTGCCTTCTTTTGTGGGAATGTTCTTGAAAATCAGAAAATCAGGTGCATGCTATTGAAATCTGTCTTAGAGAACTCTGGATTGAACGGACACAGGTGGTGGCTTTTGCATTTTAGAATGATCAGTAGTTGTGAAGCAAGTCTATAAGATGAGGCTTATCAGAATAGTGCTGAGATGTAAGGAGTATTTTTAAAGTACGTTCTAAAGGAAGAATTTAGGTTAATCAATATGTGACTAAAAAAGACGTGTTCTTACTATAAATTATTTTACAAAGGTTTTGAGATCTCAGTGTAAAAAAAAATTACTTTATACATTTCATACACTGGTTTAACAGT